AAGAAGGTTTCCCTGTGAAGTTCCCCCAGTGCTCAGCCTCAGTCACACTCAAAGGAAACCCCCATGGGTCCCCAAATCCCCTGCAGTTTCCCAACCCTCCTAAGGCGGATGCAACTTCCCACCAACCACCCAGCCCAGCCTGTCCAGTCTCCCTCCCAGCTCCTGCAGAACAACGCCCGCCTCGGAACCACCTCCATCATCTCCCTAGAGACCCAGACGTGCGCATGCATCACCCCAGACTCACAAACGCTCTCATTTCTTGTTTTAAATACATTTTTATTGATTTCAGAGAGGAAGGGAAAGGGAGAGAGAAACATCAATTATGACAATAATCTGCTGCCTCCTGCACGTTTCACACTGGGGATTGAGCCCGAAACCCAGGCATGATCCCTGACCGGGAACCAAACCCTGACCTCCTGGTTCATAGGTCAACACTCAACCACCAATTGGGCAATGCTGTCCTTGTTGACACACCCATCACAACTGCCCACTGGCCCCCACATGCCCCGAATTTCTCCACCCTCCCGGACCTTTGTGACATGTGCCAAATCCCCAAGCCCTGGCTGCCCCCCTGACCCACACTCAGGGCCCCACCACCTCTGCAGTGACCCCTGGCTGAGGCTATCGCCCATGCTCCTTACTGCCCCTCTGCATGAATGAATGAACCTCATCCTCGCACCCTTGCTTTGGGATAGGTACTCTCATTCCATCCATGTTACAGAGGAGGGAGTGGAGGCACACCATCTGGGCTAGATGGCACACAGTGGGCGCTACAGCCCACACTTTTACCTGAGTCAGCCTGCTGCCCAGTCGGGCTTTGACTCCCTGAGAGCAGTGCTGTATACCCCTGTCCCCACCTACCCCTGCCATGTTCCCCAGCACAGTTCCTGACACACAGTAGGTGCTCTATACAGATCTGTTGCTTGAATGACTGAAAAAAAATAAACAAATTCACCTTTTCATACAGATATTTTTTGCGAGGCTTTTGGAACAGTCAGTGCTGTGGGAACTCGGAGGACACAAAGGTCCTGGTCCCGGGTGGTCCTTGAAGGCTTCCTGGAGGAGGAAGGGGAAGATGAGGATGGAGGTCTGGCATTGGGGCACTGAGCAGTGTTCAGCGATGGGGGGAGGGGGGGTCACAGTTGGGTTTCATTGGGGATTTGAATACAGGAGCTGTGGGAGGGAGCAGGACATGCCTGGCAAGGCTGGCTTGACAAACTTTGGCCTGCAGGTACTGGGGAACTACAGAAGGCTCTGTGATCGAGTGGCCTGGTCACACCCGGGCTTTGGGAAGAAAAGGCAGATGGGAGCCAGGACGCACTCCCTGTCCATTCCCCGGGCCCTGTGGATGCCTGCAGTGTTCCGAAGGGCCCAAGACTCAGGGTTGGGGCCACAGCACAGTGGTGACCTCAGCCTGTGCCGCAGTGGAACAGCCTGCCAAATGGTGGGCAGCTCGGACTGCAGCCCGATGCCCAGGTTTGAATCCTGCCTACACCTCTTAGCTGCTGTGTGACCGTGGGCAGGAACTTAACTAGCCTGTGCCTCGGTTTCCTCACCGGTAACAGAGGCGTAATAATAGCAACCACTGCCTAGGGCACCGTGAGGTTTAAATGAATTAGCACAAAAAGCTAACCATGAAGAGTTCCTATCGCCGTTCCACCTAACGTTGACTTCCCGGATGGCCCAGCGGAGGCCTTCACATGGCTTTTGGTAGAGCCCAGCTCAAAGAGGCACAGTGGTTCTCGGGAAACTTTCGATGAATGGACGTGGCCCAGGGGACGCTGGCCCACCTCGGGAGTGCCCAGTGTTCAGGGGGGTCTTCGGCCCGAAGTGAGGTGCCCTCCCTCGCCACCCGCCGAGGCTGTGGGTATTTCCTGAGCGAAGTGTAATCGCAGTGAAAAACAACGTCCCCGCGACAGCCTGCTCTTGCATAATCTGCCCACAGCGCTGCGGCTTCCTGACCAGGCTCCGCGTGGCCCGGGGGTGGAGGCCCATCCTGCCCGGGAAGGTGCCGAGCCCTGCCCTCCTTCTCAGAGGAGGCCCAACGAGACCTGTCGGAGCCTCAGTTTCCCCAACTGGAAAATGAGAGCTTTGGAGCTGATGTTTTTGAAAGCCTCAATACTCTCGAATGCAGGTTTGAATGCTGGCCCTGCCCGGTGCTGACTGCTGGGGCCCCATGGTCCAGAGTTCACACTCCGGGGGAGACAGACACAGTTGGATTCAAATTGCAGCCAGGCGGCCTTGGCCAGGTTATCTCACTTCCTTGAGGCAACTCTGGGGACACGAAGCACTAAAGTATCAGGAGAATGAAATGAGGCAACGGAAGCGTTCAGGGCAGTGCCTGACACAGAGATCTCACGCGTCTTAGACGCTCTACATCCCCTCCCCGTGAATCTGGGCGCGGAGACTGCTGGACCAATGGAATGGGACAAAAGTGATACCGCGCCTGGGCCCAAATATTCAGAACCTGGCGGCTTCCGCTTCCTACCCTGGGTCATTCGCTCTAGGAACCCGGCCACCATGCTGCGAGGAGCCCACGGCACGCCCCAGCTTGCCAGCCGCCTCAGCAGTGCAGTGCCGGGTGCCAGCTGGCGCTGTGAGCAGAGATGAGCCTTCCCCAGCCAGCCAGGCCCAACCGCAGATGTGTGAGCCAAATAAATGACTAGTGTTGTTTTAAGCCACTCAGTTTTGAGGTGACAAGAGACCACTGGGACAGTTAAGGTCAGTCACCAGCCAGTCAGCACTTGGAGACCTGGGAACCCACGTGCTCACCTGTAACCATGGTTACTGGGAGGTCAGCGGGGATGCAAATGAAGGGCCCTGGCATTAAGTTCCGAACAGACAAGTCCCCTGACCCTGGTGCGGGATCGGCTACATCCTGTGTGGGACCCAGGGAAGATGAAAACACAGAGCCCCTCGTTGTAAGCGTGTCGATCATTTTCCAGACGGTGACAGCAGAGTATGAACCAGGCTCGGCCCTTCTCAGCAGGGACGCTGCGGGACAGCACGGGCCGGAGGGCCAGGAGGCGGCAGGCGTCCTGCTCTTGTCTGTGCTTGTCTGTCTGACCATGGCAGTGGTTCTCAACCTTGGCTGCACATTAGAATCACCTGGGAATCTTTTTAAAATCCTGATTTTAAAATCCCATGGGCCCAGAAATCAGGATTTTAAAAAGATTCCCAGGTGATCCTAATGTGCAGCCAAGGTTGAGAACCACTGGTCTATGGGGACCACTTGGCTCTTACAAAGCTGTTTTACAAATACACACCCAACGCTCTTACCACAGGTGCTTTCACTTTAACACCAATTTTTTTTTTTAAAGGAAGATTGAGAATCAGCAAATAATCTTTACTGTTCACCTAGGCTAGATGGCCATTTCCCCGCCCCAGTCCCAACTTACACAGCAAGGACCAAACTTACCAAGATGGCGCTTCAGGCAAACCACCTTACCTCTACAGGGAGCGGTCTCCCCACCTGGAGAATGGGGAGGCTTGTTCTTGCCCTTGGATTCTGGCATGGGGCAGAGAGCGGGGTATGAGTTCTGAGGATGTGAAAGGCGATCCGATTGTTGGCCAGCGGAGGCTCTCTGTCCACCTGTCCTCCCAGGCCTGGGTCTCCCTGTCTCAGAATCAGGCCACCTTCGAGGAAAGCCGCCCCGAGGAGCGAGGCTCTGGCTGGGTGAGCTCTGCGGCAGGAGGATCAGAAAGAAATCACAGCTGGGCTGCCGCTTGATCTCAGACAGGTTGCCTAGCCTCTTGCATAAAACAAGGAATAAAATCAACCTCCTCCCTACCTCCCAGCTGTGGCGACTTGGAGGTGAAAGGAAATGTGTCTAGAGGTCATAGCGTCTGATGTAAACACAGCGGGGGGGGCCACAGAGGGGGTGGCGCATGGGCAGAGGGGGACTTGGAATCACAGAGTTGGGGGATTGAACTCCAGCTCTGGCACTTCCTGGCTGTGTGACTGTGGTTGGTTGCTTCACCTCTCTGAGCCTCAGGTCGTCAAGGGGAGTGCTGATACTCAGCCCATCTACTTCCAGCTGCGATTCTGAAGCCCAAGTGCCTGAAGAAGGTAGAAAGCTTTGAACAAACCTACAGCTTTTCAGGTGCTTTCTAGGGGCTGCTGGTGGTGACTACCATTTCTGAACAGGGAACATGCCAGACACCAGGCCGAGACCTCACGCCTTGTACCTCCATCCACCTAATGCAGAGTCATTATCATGTACGGGTTGCAGATCAGGAAGCCAAAGTTGAAAGCACTTAAGGGCTTCGCTTGAGGCCCTGCAGCTGGGAACTCCTCGAGCTGGAGATTGAGACCCAACGGCTCCTTCCTCCTTCCTCCCCGCTCCACCCCCCACATCAGGAGCCCTAATGAAATGGGATGGGGAGTTTGCCCACACCAAACACAAACAAAGGCCTGTGGCCTCCCAGGATTTCTTGGTTTGGTTTTTACTCTTCTGGAAGACACCCAGAGAAAGAGGAACCTAGACTGACTGCCTGCCAGCCAGCCAGCCTCCCCCCAGCGACAGCAGCCTGGCCCCGGAGCTATGTTACTTGTTACTTGTTAATTCGCCAGGAGCAGCCTTCCCACAGGCCTTTCTGAGAAACATCCAACTGTTTCCCGGCTACCAGCAGCCTCAGCCTTTGTCTGAAATCAGCTGAAACCACCTTTGCTGGCCTTTCCCGCCCACCGCTGAGAGAATAGCAGGATGTTTATTGTTCTAACGGGAGGGAAAATAAATGTAGTCTTTTCTTTTTAACTTTTCTTCGTTCACGTTTATTTCATTTTTTTTCCTTTTCCTTTTTATTGAATTTATTAGGGTGACACCGGTTAGCAAAATTACACAGGTTTCAGGCACACAATTCCACAACACATCAGCTGTACACTGTACTGTGTGTTCACCACCCCAAGTCAAGTCTCCATCCGTTTGACGATAAAATCTGAGCACCTGGCAATGGCCCGCGAGGCCCTCCGTGGCCTGGCTGTCGGCCTGCCTGCTCACCTTCTTTCCGCCCGGCCCCGGTGCTCCCACCAGGTGTGCTCCTCGAGTCCCAAGGCCGGGAGCCTCCCCACCTCGGGGCCTTTGCAGCGATGGTTCATGACTTCCCAGGTCGCTGGGCCCCCAGGTATCATGTCACTCAGGTGGAGTTCAAAGGGCACCTCCTGGACCACCTGGCTGGAGCCGACCCTGCCCTCGAGGCGCTGCCTGGTCCCCTAACTGGGGCGCCCCTAGCACATAACCCCATCGTCTCCGGAATGACTTATTCACAGGTTCGGTTCTGTGCCATCGTGGATCTCGGCCACTGGACACAGGGCCCACGGAGGCGGTCTGAGCTCAGCGCATCCTCTGCAGCTGGACCGGGCCTGGCTCATCACAGGTGTGCTTGGAAGGGAGGGGGAGGGAAGGAGAGGAAAGGAGATTTTGAACAGCAACGCGGTGCCGCCTGGAACGCCCTGGAACCACGAGCAGGACGTCCATGCAGAGGGACCGGCAACACTTCACAAATGCACAGAGTTACAGACTTCTAACCAACCGCCACTCCTGTGACTGTGACATGAGGGGTCCTCTGGGTGCCCCACGGAGCAAGAAGCAGTCTGCCCACTGTGGGGTTCCCACAGCAACACACCCCAAGGGAGGCCAGGCCCCAGGGGAGCCTGGAAGCCTGTCAGCCTCACCGAAGCTAACGCCAGCCCGGAACCAGCCACCAGCTTTCATGTTGTTTTTCTGGGAGAAGAGTGTTCTCAGCCCGATGCCTCCTGGAGGTTACCTGTTGGTAAGTCAGAGGGGCTGAATTCTGCAGACCCAGGAAGGGCTCACCCTTGGCAAGTGGCCACTGGGCTGGACCGAGGACAGAGGCTGCCACACAGCAAACACCAGCCCCATGGCAGGTGGCGTTTAAGGGAACCCCACAACCCTGGCCCATTTCACAGATCAGGAAACTGAGCTCTAGGGAGATCAAGGCACCTAACCTAGACAGCCCCACTAAGCGGCAGAGCTGGGCCTGAATCCCAGTCCCTGCCTCACACTGTCTGCCCGCACCTCGGTCACTTCCACTGAAGACCTGCTGCTCTGGGGCGCCCCGCAGGGTCCCAGGTATGCACCCAGCATGGGTGCTGGCCCAGGGCCAGGGGCCTGGGAGGGTGCAGGAGCCCAGGTGGGCTCGGCCAGCGTCTCCGTGGGCTGGAGTAGCCATCCTTGAAGCGTTTAACGTTCTCACCTTGGCTTCCAGTCAAGCAGGACTGACACGGTCAAGGGCCTATGAGTGAATCGGGTCCCTGCCCCACCCATCTGTCCCCAACCCCTCCCTGCCCCCCACGAGGACAGGGAGGACCAAAGAAGGGGTGGAGGTGAGAAGGCACCCAAGAAACTTCAGCTGGAGGGCGGCCTCTCGCCTCTGCACAGTCATTTCTGTTCAGCCCAGCAGAGCAGTCCCTGGGGCTGTGGGACAGCAATGACTGGGACAGGATGGGAGGGGTGGGAGGAGGGAGACATGGGAGATTGAGTCTCCTGCTCCATCTGAGGGATGGGCCTGGCCTTAAGCACCTCCAAGACCGCCCTGGGAGACAGCAGGGTTTCTCCGAGTATGACAGCCTCCACAGGACACTTACCACTCCTTCCTGACTGCGGCCGTTCAGGAAGGGGGTGTGCGCGTGTGTGAGGTGCCCTGGGAAATGCCACCCTGAGCAGCAGGGCCCTGGTCCACCTGCCCATCTGAACAGCAGAGGCTAAGAAGGCCCTGTCACTGGAGGGCAGGGATATTCGCCGGGCCTGCACTGACCACGGGCGGGGCCTGGAGTCCTGCGGGGGTGGGCCCTTCCAGCTCCCGCATGCAGCCCTTGGCTCACATTGACCCCTCAGTCCCCTCCCTGTGACCCCCAGGCTGGGGCATCTGCACAGCTTCTGTGATGCCCTCTCCCCACAGCCCCTTCTGCAAACACCCACAGGGAGCCTGGTGTAGAGCAGCTTTATTCGGAGTGTCCTTGAGGCAGGCCTGGGCCAGGGCGCGGGAGTGACAGGGAGGAGGACCCTCCGGCGGCGGAGGGGCGGCTCTGCGGGCAGCAGCGCCCTGTCCCCAGAGGCTGGGCAGAGGGGTGGCGGGATCCCCGTCCTCAGCTTCCCAAAGACTCTCAGTCTCCATGAGAGAGTCCTCATCCTTATGGTCACTGGTAAGGAACTTTGTGGATTTTTAAAAGATCGTGTTCTGTGAAGGGCTCTTGGGCGAGGGAGTGCGTCATTTCATGAAGCAGATGTCAGCGGCCGCCACCGGCAGCCTGAGCCCTGCCCACGAGGTGCTGGGCGCATGCTGACTCCGGGCACGGAGGCTCGGGGGCAGAGCTGCCCACACGGGCATTTGGGCAAAGATCACCCATCCCACATGAACTTCTCCAGGTTCTGGTGTAACGGCCTCTCCAACTTCCCCCAAAATATCTGAGAGGTTTCAGAAAGTGTCCCTGCCATTCCTGACCCGGCCCCGACTTCCTCCAGCAACGTGTGGCCGGTGCGTAAACAGCAGCTTTCAGGCCTGGCTTCGGCGGGTAATTCCAGGAGCCTGCGGCGACCCAAGACTCGGTGCCCGGCCTGCCGCCCCGTCGTCTGCCCACGGGTCCCTTTCCAAGGCCACGCGCCTGTGTACACGTGTCTGAAAGCCCTGGGCGAGCAGGCCAGCCGACCGATTATTACTTAGTGTGCGATGCACACATCCTTTCCCCAGACTGAGCTACGCAGAGCTCCCCCCCAAGCCCAGGATAAGGCAGACGCGGCTTTTGACATCCATGTCCCAACACGGGTGCGGAGCAGCTGCTGCAAGAGGCAGGCCTGGTGCCATGGGGGTCCATGAGGGCGGCAGATCCGGGGAAGGGCATCTTCATTTCCCAGGACAGAGCGGGCGGTGCCCACCGAGCAGGCAAGGACCCCGAAGGGCCCACCGTCACTGGGACTGGTAGGGACATTCTGAGATGAGCGAGTTGATCCTAGGCCAGGGGCCCACCGTGGGCCACAGAACAGGGAAAGGGCAGCACCAGGAGGGTCCCCCCTCGGCCCACGCAGGGCTGGAGGCAGGCTGGGTACCACCAGGCATAGGGCACAGAGCACAGCATGGCCGCAGTGGCTGAGATGGGCCAGCCGGCCGCCCGATCCCTCTGTTTCCCTTCTGACGGAGGAGAAACCACAGGTGCTGGCCCTGGGCCACTGCGGGCCCAGTTTACAGTAACTGTGGGCTGTTGGCCTGGTAGCAAGGCCCCGTGGGTATCTCTCCAGGGGCCCAGTTGAGGGGAGAAGGCTTGGGGTGTGGGCCTCATGGCCTCTGCCTCAGGTGGGCTCCACCCTAGAGGGCGGGGGGCCCATGCCAGGACTTTGGGGTATCTTCTCAGTAGCAGCAGAGGCGAAGCGTCCAGTCCCGACTGTCTGTCTTTCTGTTGCCCCAGCAAACATCGCCGTTCAAATCCAGCACCCTGGTTGTCTCCCCTGCACAGCCCACTGCCCTAGGGTCAGGGTGGGGGCAGCTGGGTGGGGATGCAGGTAGAGACCCCCAGGCCCCTCCTGCATTGACCACTGGGTGCTGGAAACTCAGGTCAGCAGATGGGCCTCTGCACCAGCGTGGCCCACCGTGCCGCCCGGTCCCAGGGGCACCCAGCTGCTCTCTCAGCCCCAGCCAGGCCTCACTTCCCAGACGCCGTCTCAGGCAAGGGGTCCTCCTTCCCTTCCTCCTCCACCGAGAACATGACGTCCCTGCAGCTGCCCAGAGGTGGTTCCGTCTCCTGCTCCGGGTAGTGTGGGGCATGGTCCATCTCCAGGTCCTCCTCGAGCTCAGGCCCGGCCGGCCCCGCCAGGCCCCGGCCCTCCGGCGCCTCGGTCTTCACGGTCCCCACGATCACTGTGTCGGCCTTCATGATGTAGATTTTCTCTGCAAAGCGGAAGGAGACGTGCGGTGAGAGCCCAGAGGATGAACAAGGGGGCGGAGGAGGGTCCCAGTCCAGCTCTGCCACCCGCGCTGTGTGGCTCAGGCAGGTGGCATAACCTCTCTGGTGCGCAGTAAGCCCTGCCAACCTTACAGCCCAGAACTGTGTGCTGAGGAGTTAGCCCTGGCCCACTTGCTACCTATGGGTAATGCCTGTGGTTGTCTGGGCACTTCTGCAAGGATGGGGTGGGGAAGGAGAGAACGGGGACAGGAGAGAAAGCCAGGCGTGGGGAGGAAGCAAGTAGAATCAGTCCCCATGGCTCCTGCAAATGTCCACTGTAATTGAGAACGAAGACTAAAATAATAACAATAGCACCAGGGAACTCGAGTAGAGGTTCACTCTCCACACTTTAGCTCCTGAATCCTCACATCCCTTCTTCCAGGTAAACAGTCTGTTCTTACCCCAGTTACAGGTGAAGGACCTGGAGCCCAAAGAGGCTCAATGACCTGCCCAGGGTCACCAGGTAGTTAGCAGAAATCCCCAAAGCAACTCCTGCCCCGCTGCCCGTTCCACTCCTTTCCACGGCCTAAAGCAGAAACCAGCATGTCCCGGGTTGCCCGGGATGCTCTGGTGTTCACCGTGCAAGTTCAACCCAGGATGCTCTGGTGTTCGCCGTGCAAGTTCAACCCAGGATGCTCTGGTGTTCGCCGTGCAAGTTCAACCCAGCAAGCCAGGCAGCTGTCACCCCTGCAGAACCCTCAGCTGTGAGTAACCGCCTGATTCCGGCAGCTTTGGGAGGGCGGTATAGTTCAGTGTTAATCGCTTATTGCCCACCCCCCCAACACACACACACACACACCGAGGCCTCATGGCTGTGCCTGCCTAGCACACAGTAGGACTGCTTATGTATGTCACTTGGATGAAAGACCCGCCCAGCCCATTAGAGGTGTGATTCCCCGGGTCCTCAACACCATTTCCTTCCTTTGGGGGTTTTGGAGGCTCAGGGGAGTTAAGGAAGCTGCCAAAGACGCTGGGAAGTGGGGAGCCCGGCCTACAGCCAGGTCAGCTGACTTCAAGCACCAGCCGGGCTTCTTCCGGTATCTCAGGCTCAGGGCAGGGTCCCAGCTCCCAGCTGCTCAGCCCTGGATTCTAGAGGCTGAATGGGGAAGCTCAAGAGGGAACTTGAGAGCTGGGGTGGGGCA